AGGCGGATAGATATGCATTCGAGGACTTCGCATTATATTTTACAGGTCGTATTGCCCACCCACCCATCCCTTTAAGCGTTGCGAGTGTTAAGACAATATGTTCTGACTTAAAATAGCCATTATTTTATTTAGTTACATCAAGATTAGCCAACAGTTATAATATATAACTGTAGTCAGTTAATTAAGCAGCGTTAAATAGAAAAATTGTTGAAGACGAAAGTATTGACTATTTAGCTAACGATGTGGACACGAAATCGGACACCTTTAAATTATTCGGTCGTACCATTATTTTATACATTTTACATTTTCCTTACAACAAAGAATATTTTTTGAAGTTTGTCATGTTAATGTTCATTTTCTATTTTTTAAAAACTATTTTTATATTAACAATTTATCGTTTTGCACAGTTGAAGGTTAAATTTAATTATGTTAAATAAATTTTATGTTAATTTTTATCGGTATTAAAATTGTGGGCAGGAAAAGTTTCTTTTGCATAACTAATGATGTGAAAACATAATTATTATTACCATACTAAATCGTATTTATTCCGCAAGACATCAGAATATTAAGATACGATGTGACTTCTATGTAGTTGTATTTTATCAGTTTACAACCAATGCAATACCACATGAATAAATACCTGATATCAGTTAATACATCTATATCACACTTATGATATTAATGTTATTAATCCGTATAGCTGTGATGGCCGAGTGGTTAAGGCGTTGGACTAGAAATCCAATTGGCATTGCCCGCGCAGGTTCGAACCCTGCTCGCAGCGAATTCGTTTTTAAACATCTCTTAGTTTTAAGTACTTTGCCAATAGTGATGAAATAGTTTTGTTTGGTTTTGATATAATTTTATTCTTAAAATGTTTTACTAAAAACATATATACCAAACAAACAAACGCAGTACGGTAGTAAATAGTGTAAAACAGCAAGCCCCCAGTGAGGATCGAACTCACGACCCCTGGTTTACAAGACCAGTGCTCTAACCACATACGTTACTGTAAAAAACAGGTTTTATTACAACTGATAACAATATTATAGTTAGGAAGAGTTCGATTGGGGTTTTACTTTTTGAAGATTTTACCTTGCCATAATTGATTACTTGTACATTGTGCATGTGGGTGTGTTTTTCCCACGAAACAAGTATTTTTTACATAATTATTGTATTAACTAACAAATTAATAGATTCAAAGTAACATATCTCTAAATAGTCTATTGTCCTAAAGTAGAGCAAAACCAACACGTCTTGTAACCTATTAAACTTGCTGGTAAAAGATACAACTTTTTTTCTTTCGTTGAAAAAAAATGTGAACAAAATAATTATATGACCTCGACGTGATTCGAACACGCAACCTTCTGATCTGGAGTCAGACGCGCTACCGTTGCGCCACGAAGCCTTACATAGAATAATATAATTTGATTTTACCATACAAGTAAACAAAAAGATGTAGACTTATTTAGTTTAACCGATAATCAAGGTAGTGTGTAATTGATCTGCATTATTGCGTCATTTTGATTAAAGGAATCTAAATATATCTGCATAAATTGTTTCAAATAAGAGTTAAACCAAAACTTTTTATAATCTATTTAGCTTGCTGGTAGAAAATACTCTCCCCTTTTTTATTAAGAACAAATGTTAAAAAAGGTATGACCTCGAGGTGATTCGAACACGCAACCTTCTGATCTGGAGTCAGACGCGCTACCGTTGCGCCACGAAGCCTTACATAGAAAAATATCATTTGATTTTACCATACAAGTAAACAAAAAGATGTAGACTTATTTAGTTTAACCGATAATCAAGGTAGTGTGTAATTGATCTGCATTATTGCGTCATTTAGATTAAAGGAATCTAAATATATCTGCGTAATTTTTTTCAAATAAGAGTTAAACAAAAACTTTTAGAATCTGTTTAACTTGTTGGTAGAAAATATCCCCCCCTTTTTTATTAAAAACAAATGTTAAAATTGGTATGACCTCGACGTGATTCGAACACGCAACCTTCTGATCTGGAGTCAGACGCGCTACCGTTGCGCCCACGAAGCCTTGTGTGAAAATTGCCATTTAATGTTACAACTAGACATACTATAGCCTTATTTAGTTTAAACAGATAATCAAGGTAGTGTGTAATTTGATCTACATTTTTGCGTCATTTTAATTTTAGGAAACTTTTTATATACGCATTAGATAATCGTGTAAAATACGACGTTTCTGTGGTTTATACAATGTATATTGATTTATTTTTTAATTATTATTATCTTGGTATGGATATAATTATCAATCAAATATCTTACCAGTAAGATTATTAGCTGTGATGGCCGAGTGGTTAAGGCGTTTGACTCGAAATCAAATGGGCATTGCCCGCGCAGGTTCGATCCCTGCTCGCAGCGATATTTTAAATAATCTTTTAAACACATGTTTAAAAAAAATAATTTTTAGATCTATAAGAAAACGAAAGTATTGTCAAATATTTAGCTAACAATGTGGACACGAAATCGGACACCTTTACATAGAAAATTTTGTTTAACGTTTTTCATGTAACAATTTAAGGTTTCGCACAGTTGAAGGTTAAATTTAATTATGTTAAATAAAACTTAGTGTGAATTGTTATCGGTATGAATATTGTGTGCAGGAAAAGTTTCTTTTGCATTACTTATGATTATTACTACATCATACTTAATCGTATATCAGAATATTAAGATACGATGTGACTTCTATATACTTAGTTTTCTTTTATCAGTTTACAGTCATTGCAATACTATATGAATAAATACCAGATAATCTATGGTGGCTGATTTGGTACGTTTTTGTGAGTCCGTGTTGGCGCTAGCGACAACATGACAAATTGCCAAACGTCGCGTTGTCGTCCTGTCTCTAGCGCGGCACGCCAAACGGCGCGTTGTCGTGCGGCGTGTTGTCACGATGTCACATTGTCGCTCAGTTCAAATTGAAGGATTGGCTTATAAAACCAAGCGACAAACGCGACATCGCGACAACGCGCCGCACGACTACGCACCGTTTGGCACTTTGTCGTGTTGTCTTTAGCGCCAACTAGACGCACAAAAGCGTACCAAATCAGCCACAATAATAATCAGTTTATATATCGTACTCGTAAATCTATATAGCTGTGATGGCCGAGTGGTTAAGGCGTTGGACTTGAAATCCAATGGGCATTGCCCGCGCAGGTTCGAACCCTGCTCGCAGCGAAACAATTTTTTAAAATATTTCGAAAACCTACTTAATGTTAAGAGTTATAGATGTACGGTTAAATTATAGATTAGCACGATCTTTTCGTGCTCACTGAACTTGAACTGTATATGTAATTGACAGGCGGATAGATAGGCATTCGAGGACTTCGCATTATATTTTACAGGTCGTATTGCCCACCCACCCATCCCTTTAAGCGTTGCGAGTGTTAAGACAATATGTTCTGACTTAAAATAGCCATTATTTTATTTAGTTACATCAAGATAAGCCAAATGTTATAATATATAACTGTAGTCAGTTAATTAAGCACGTTTTTAATTTTACTGGCAGTATAACGTTTGGTTGTTGTTATCCGTAGATATTTACATGTTAATAATCAAGATAGTTTATTTTACAGGCTGTGAGTTAGTTTAGAGGTTCATCTTCCGAAGACATAAAGTGTTATATTTTGTATTGCTGTGTATAAAATGATATTGAAACAATACAAAGGCCTTCATCCTATTTCAGTGTTGTTGTTTACTCTGTCCCAGACTAAAGGTCTTATAACTCTTATTATGTGATAAATGATTTATTTTCGTTTAGGCGAAGCGAATTAGAAAAATAATCTGTTTTACTTCAATGTGTCTAGCTGTTTTATATAATTAGTTATTTGTCAAGAGAATCATATCCGTACGCTGGTTACTGTTAATAAATGGGAGCTTTTGTACAACACAAACATTTGGTAAAACATTGAATCCATTCCTTCATATTTGGTGCAAACTCAGTGGTATAAAATTATAAAAGATACAAGATAATGGAGCCCAGATTCAGAGAAATGCATACATACGTGGTACTAATTTTTCTATAAACATATACATATATAACTAACAAATAAGCGCGTGCAGTAGAAAATAGAGTAAAAGAGCAAGCCCCCAGTGAGGATCGAACTCACGACCCCTGGTTTACAAGACCAGTGCTCTAACCACTGAGCTATGGAGGCACACGTCTAGAATTTAAAAGAAGGATTATTACAACTGATAACAATATTATATCTAATTGTTAAGTTAGGAAGAGTCCAATATAGTGTATGCATTGGTATCGGATTGCTTGACACAGCTGTTACCTTGCATTCATTGATAACAGACTACCATATTTATGTGCTAAAATCAGAACCTCGTTAAATATTTTAGTAATATGTGCTTATACAGAAACCGAATAAAAATAGCATAATTATTTATTTTTATATTCAAAGAGTCGAGCAATTTTATCTTTAACCCCCTCAAGCCAGACTTGTGGCCTTACTGGGCCTTACTGCGACCTAGACCGCAGTGGAAACGTCATGGACGTGTTAGGAACGACTCAAGTCGCCGTAAGCAGCCCATCGTTGCTGGCAGGACGCCGAAAAACGGCATCTATCGATATTTTAAAACATGCACGACACAAACGAATGAAAGAAATGAATGTCATATCCTTTTACACTATTCAAATGCAGCAAGTGAGAATAACAATATATGATGAGAAATACAAAGAAATGCTTTGCCTTCCGTTGCGCCACGAAGCCTAACTTAGAATAATATTATTAACACTATCTTATAAAGTTATAAGTAATAGTACAAATTATAGCCTCATTAAATTTAACCGATAGTCAAGATAGTAATTGATCTGCATTAGTTTGTCATTTAATTAGGGGAAACTAAATTTCTTTGCGTAAATAAATAGTTTTAAAGTTGAGCTAAACCAAACTCATTAAACTTGCAGATAGAAGATACCGCCTTTTTTCGTTAAAAACAAATGTTTAAAAAAACGGCATGACCTCGACGTGATTCGAACACGCAACCTTCTGATCTGGAGTCAGACGCGCTAAACCGTTGCGCCACGAAGCCTATGAATGATTGTGATAAGTACTGTTTAATGTTACAAGTACAGGTAATATTGCCTTATTTAGTTTGACCGTAAATCAAGGTAGTGTGAAATTTGATCTGTATTATTGCGTCATTATGTGGTGGTGGTGATGGTGGTGGTGGTGGTAGGTTTCACTCCGGATCACGACAGTAAGCTATATTGAATTCACCAAAGCACAGTTCAACCACCGTATCGTTCCAGGGCAGGCTGTCCAGTAAAGAAGAGTTCGATTGGTTTTACTTTTTGAAGGTTTTACCGTGCAATAATTAATAACTTGTCCATTGTGCATGTGTATTTGTGTTTTTCCCACTAAACAAGTATTTTTCATATTGAACTAACTAACAAATTAATACAATAAAAGTTACATTTCTCTAAATAGTCTACAATACTTCTTTGTAACCTTTTAATCTTGCTGGTAAAAGATACTACTTTTTTTTTTCGTTGAAAAAATGTGAACACAATATGATTCGAACACGCAACCTTCTGATCTGGAGTCAGACGCGATACCGTTGCGCCACGAAGCCTTATGAATGTTATGAAGTACATATAAAATAGCTTTATTTAGTAGTGCGTAATTTGATCTGCATTATTGCATCATTTTAATTGATATACGCATGGGATAATCGTGTTAATACGACGTTACATGTGGTTTATATATTGAAATATTATAATTATTATTATATTGGTATGGATATATATATATAAATATCAATTAAATATGTTAACATTAAGAACATTAGCTTTGATGGCCGGGTGGTTAAGGCCTTTTACTCGAGATCAAATGTGCATTGCCCGCGCAGGTTCGAATCCTGCTCGCAGCGTTAAATACAAAAATTGTTGAAGACGAAAGTATTGACTATTTAGCTAACGATGTGGACACGAAATCGGACACCTTTAAATTATTCGGTCGTACCATTATTTTATACATTTTACATTTTCCTTACAACAAAGAATATTTTTTGAAGTTTGTCATGTTAATGTTCATTTTCTATTTTTTAAAAACTATTTTTATATTAACAATTTATCGTTTTGCACAGTTGAAGGTTAAATTTAATTATGTTAAATAAATTTTGTGTTAATTTTTATCGGTATTAAAATTGTGGGCAGGAAAAGTTTCTTTTGCATAACTAATGATGTGAAAACATTAATTATTATTATAATACTTAATCGTATTTCTTCCGTAAGACATCAGAATATTAAGATACGATGTGTCTTCTATGTAGTTTTATTTTATCAGTTTACAGTAATTGCAATACTATATAAATAAATACTAGATAATCAGTTAATATATCATTCTTTCGATATTAAATAAATGTATACAGCTGTGATGGCCGAGTGGTTAAGGCGTTGGACTTGAAATCCAATGGGCATTGCCCGCGCAGGTTCGAACCCTGCTCGCAGCGAATTCATTTTTAAACATCTCTTAGTTTTAAAATATCTCCTTAAGCACTTTGCCAATAGTGATGAAATAGTTTTGTTTGGTTTTGATAAAATTTTATTCTTAAAATGTTTACTTAAAACATATATACCAAACGCAGTACGGTAGTAAATAGTGTAAAAGAGCAAGCCCCCAGTGAGGATGGAACTCACGACTCCTGGTTTACAAGACCAGTGCTCTAACCAAGTTACTATGTAAAAAGAGGTTTTATTACAACTGATAACAATATTTGTTCAGTTAGGAAGAGTTCGACTTGGGTTTTAACTTTTTGAAGATTTTACCTTGCCATAATTGATTACTTGTACATTGTGCATGTGGGTGTGTTTTCCCCACGAAACAAGTATTTTTTACATAATTATTGTATTAACTAACAAATTAATAGATTCAAAGTAACATATCTCTAAATAGTCTATTGTCCTAAAGTAGAGCAAAACCAACACGTCTTGTAACCTATTAAACTTGCTGGTAAAAGATACAACTTTTTTTCTTTCGTTGAAAAAAAATGTGAACAAAATAATTATATGACCTCGACGTGATTCGAACACGCAACCTTCTGATCTGGAGTCAGACGCGCTACCGTTGCGCCACGAAGCCTTACATAGAATAATATAATTTGATTTTACCATACAAGTAAACAAAAAGATGTAGACTTATTTAGTTTAACCGATAATCAAGGTAGTGTGTAATTGATCTGCATTATTGCGTCATTTTGATTAAAGGAATCTAAATATATCTGCGTAAATTGTTTCAAATAAGAGTTAAACCAAAACTTTTTATAATCTATTTAGCTTGCTGGTAGAAAATATCTCCCCTTTTTTATTAAGAACAAATGTTAAAAAAGGTATGACCTCGAGGTGATTCGAACACGCAACCTTCTGATCTGGAGTCAGACGCGCTACCGTTGCGCCACGAAGCCTTACATAGAAAAATATCATTTGATTTTACCATACAAGTAAACAAAAAGATGTAGACTTATTTAGTTTAACCGATAATCAAGGTAGTGTGTAATTGATCTGCATTATTGCGTCATTTAGATTAAAGGAATCTAAATATATCTGCGTAATTTTTTTCAAATAAGAGTTAAACAAAAACTTTTTAAAATCTGTTTAACTTGCTGGTAGAAAATATCCCCCCCCCTTTTTTTTATTAAAAACAAATGTTAAAATTGGTATGACCTCGACGTGATTCGAACACGCAACCTTCTGATCTGGAGTCAGACGCGCTACCGTTGCGCCACGAAGCCTTGTGAAAATTGCCATTTAATGTTACAACTAGACATACTATAGTCTTATTTAGTTTAACAGATAATCAAGGTAGTGTGTAATTTGATCTACATTTTTGCGTCATTTTAATTTTAGGAAACTTTTTATATACGCATTAGATAATCGTGTAAATACGACGTTTCTTGTGGTTTATACAATGTATATTGATTTATTTTAATTATTATTATCTTGGTATGGATATAATTATCAATCAAATATCTTACCAGTAAGATTATTAGCTGTGATGGCCGAGTGGTTAAGGCGTTTGACTCGAAATCAAATGGGCATTGCCCGCGCAGGTTCGAATCCTGCTCGCAGCGATATTTTAAATAATCTTTTAAACACATGTTTAAAAAAATAAATTTTTTAGATCTATAAGAAAACGAAAGTATTGTCAAATATTTAGCTAACAATGTGGACACGAAATCGGACACCTTTACATAGAAATATTTTGTTTAACGTTTTTCATGTAACAATTTCAGGTTTCGCACAGTTGAAGGTTAAATTTGATTATGTTAAATAAACTTTTGAGTGAATTGTTATCGGTATTAATATTGTGTGCAGGAAAAGTTTCTTTTGCATTACTTATGATTATTACTATCATCATACTTAATCGTATTTCTTCCGTAAGATACGATGTGACTTCTATATAGTTTTCTTTTATCAGTTTACAGTCATTGCAATACTATATGAATAAATACCAGATAATCTATGGTGGCTGATTTGGTACGTTTTTGTGAGTCGTGTTGGCGCTAGCGACAACACGACAAAACGCCTAACGTCGCGTTGTCGTCCTGTCTCTAGCGCGGCACGCCAAACGGCGCGTTGTCGTGCGGCGTGTTGTCACGATGTCACATTGTCGCTCAGTTCAAATTGAAGGATTGGCTTATAAACCAAGCGACAACGCGACATCGCGACAACGCGCCGCATGACTACGCACCGTTTGGCGCTTTGTCGTGTTGTCTTTAGCGCCAACTAGACGCACAAAAGCGTACCAAATCAGCCACAATAATAATCAGTTTATATATCGTACTCGTAAATCTATATAGCAGTGATGGCCGAGTGGTTAAGGCGTTGGACTTGAAATCCAATGGGCATTGCCCGCGCAGGTTCGAACCCTGCTCGCAGCGAACAATTTTTTAAAATATTTCGAAAACCTACTTAATGTTAAGAGTTATAGATGTACGGTTAAATTATAGATTAGCACGATCTTTTCGTGCTCACTGAACTTGAACTGTATATGTAATTGACAGGCGGATAGATAGGCATTCGAGGACTTCGCCATTATATTTTACAGGTCGTATTGCCCACCCACCCATCCCTTTAAGCGTTGCGAGTGTTAAGACAATATGTTCTGACTTAAAATAGCCATTATTTTATTTAGTTACATCAAGATAAGCGCGTGCAGTAGAAAATAGAGTAAAAGAGCAAGCCCCCAGTGAGGATCGAACTCACGACCCCTGGTTTACAAGACCAGTGCTCTAACCACTGAGCTATGGAGGCACACGTCTAGAATTTAAAAGAAGGATTATTACAACTGATAACAATATTATATCTAATTGTTAAGTTATGAAGAGTCCAATATAGTGTATGCATTGGTATCGGATTGCTCGACACAGCTGTTACCTTGCATTCATTGATAACAAACTATCATAAATATGTGCGAAAATTAGAACCTCGTTAAATATTTTAGTTATATGTGCTTATACAGAAACCGAATAGAAATAGCATAATTATTTATTTTTATATTCAAAGGGTCGAGCAATTTTATCTTTTACCCCCTCAAGCCAGACTTGTGGCCTTACTGGGCCCAACTGCGACCTAGACCGCAGTGGAAACGTCATGGACGTGTTATGAACGACTCAAGTCGCCGTAAGCAGCCCATCGTTGCTGCAGGACGCCGAAAAACGGCATCTATCGATATTTTAAACATGCACGACACAAACGAATGAAAGAAATGAATGTCATATCCTTTTACACTATTCAAATGCAGCAAGTGAGAATAACAATATATGATGAGAAATACAGAAATGCTTTGCCTTCCGTTGCGCCACGAAGCCTAACTTAGAATAATATTATTAACACTACCTTATAAAGTTATAAGTAATAGTACAAATTATAGCCTCATTAAATTTAACCGATAGTCAAGATAGTAATTGATCTGCATTAGTTTGTCATTTTAATTAGGGGAAACTAAATTTCTTTGCGTAAATAAATAGTTTTAAAGTTGAGCTAAACCAAAACTCATTAAACTTGCAGATAGAAGATACCGCCTTTTTTC